ATTTAATATATTTAAGTATGTTGAATATAGAAGAAATAGAGTTTGGGATTAATTTCCTTGTGTATAAATCACACAAAGGGTAATTTATTTATAGTAGAGAATACAACTAAAAGAGTAAATGAAAGTAACAGAATAAACGAAGATATTGTTTGATATTATGATTAATATCTAACAATATCTTAACAATATTAAATAATATCAAAACAATATCTAACACTCCCCCTCAAGCTGGAGCATACAAATCGTATGTGCCAAGCTTGTTACAAATATAATCAATTCTAAGACCCCGTAAAGATTTAGTAAAAATATCTGCTAACTGATCACTTGAGTTAATAAACTCAGTCTTGATGTCTCCAGACATAATCTTTTCTCGAATGAAATGACAGTCAATCTCAATGTGTTTGGTCCTCTCATGAAGACAGGATTAGAACTAATATGAAGAGCAGCCTGATTGTCACACACAAGTGACATTTGAGTGACATCTCCAAATTGTAACTCTCTAAGCAATTGCTTGAGCCAAACAAGTTCACAAGCAGCTGAGGCCATAGCTCTATATTATGCTTCTGCACTAGATCTTGCCACAACACTTTGTTTCTTACTTTTCCATGAGACCAAGTTACCACCAATGGAGACACAATATCCAGATGTAGATCTTCTATCCGAAGGAGATCCTGCCCAATCAGCATCTGTGTAGCAAACAACTCTTGTATGGTTATTAGAATCATATAACAATCCTTTTCCAGGAGATCCTTTAATATACTTTAAGATACGAATGACTGCATTCCAATGATCTTCACATGGGGAATTAAGAAATTGACTTACCACACTGACTGCAAAGGAAATGTCAGGACGAGTAACTGTAAGATAATTCAATTTTCCAACCAATCTTCTATACTGCTCAGGATCAGGTATAAACTCCCCCTGATTTGGTAAAAGTTTAGTATTGGGATCCATGGGCGTATCAACAGACTTTGAATTCATCAACCCAGTTTCCTCTAAAATATCCATGACATACTTCCTCTGAGATATAACAATACCATCATTGGACTGTGTCACCTCAATACCCAAGAAATATCTAAGTTTGCCAAGATCTTTGGTCTGAAAATGGTGACAGAGATGTTGTTTCAACTGAGAGATGTCATGGTTGTCACTACCTGTAAGAACGATGTCATCAACATATACTATCAAGTAAACACATCCATCACTTGAGTGTCGATAAAAGACAGAATGATCTGCTTCACACCGAGTCATACCAAATTGTTGAACAACCTTGCTAAACTTTCCAAACCAGGCCCTAGGAGACTGTTTTAGGCCATATATGGATTTGCGAAAACGACATACCATCCCAGAAGACTCCCCCTGAGCAACAAACCCAGGAGGTTGCTCCATATAGATTTCTTCTTGCAAATCACCATTGAGGAAAGTATTTTTAACATCTAGTTGATAAAGAGGTCATTGTTGAAGAGCGGTCATGGCGATAAATAAACGAACAGAATTCATCTTTGCCACAGGAGAAAAGGTATCTCCATAATCCAACCCAAAAATTTGAGTATAACCTTTGGCCATAAGACGAGCTTTGAGGCGATCAATAGTACCATCAGGTCCAACTTTGATAGCAAACATCCACCTGCAACCAACAACAGATTTCCCAGACGGTAACGAGACCAATTCCCAAATTCCACTATTATGAAGAGCACTTAGTTCATCTAACATGGTCTGACGCCAACCAGGATGGACTAAAGCTTCACGGAAAGTTTTTGGAATGGTCACAGAAGAAAGAGATGAAAGACATGTATAAAAAGGTAATGACAGTCGATGATAACTCAAACCAATATAATGAGGAGAGGGATTACGTGTAGAACGGATACCTTTTCGAAAGGCAATGGGAAGGTCAGACTCAGGTGTCACATCCGGAGGAGACAGAGTAGTTGGCACTTGAGTAGAGTCACATGGTGGTGGTTGTGATTGGTTTCGGCAACTATAAACCTGAAGAGGCAATGAAGAAGAAGCTGACTGCGGAGTAGAATCTAATGGTGAAGAAGACACAGTTAGAGGGTCACAAACAACAGGAACATTAAATGTACTAGGAGTGTTGACAAGATTGGATGGAGACAAAGGTGAAGATTGACTTTTAAAATAAAAAGAGAACTCATCAAAGGTGACATCTGCAGACACAAAATAACGGTTAAGAGAAGGAGAAAAACATTTGTATCCTTTTTGTGATCTTGTAAACCCTAAGAAAACACATTTATGTGATCTAGGAGAAAGCTTGTCAAGACTAGAACTAAAATTATGAACAAAACATGTAGACCCGAAAACTTTTAGAGGTAAGGGATGAAGTGGTTCATGAGGGAATAAAATGGAATGAGGTATTTTATTATCTAGAACCGAAGATGGCATGCGATTAACAAGATAACATGCAGTAAGAAGAGCATCACCCCAAAAATGCTGAGGAACCTCTCCATAAATTAAAAGAGTGCGAGTTATTTCACTAAGATGTCTATTTTTACGTTTAGCTACACCATTTTGTTGAGGTGTATAAGCACAAGAAGTTTGATGCAAAATACCATGAGAAACCATGAATTGTTTAAAAGAATGAGAAAGATATTCACGACCATTATCACTGCGCAAAACTCTAATAGAAACACCGAACTGAGTTTGAATTTCATTGAAAAAAGTTTGAAAGATATGAAATAATTCAGAACGATTTTTCATCAAAAATAACCAAGTGCATCTGGAATAATCATCAATGAAAGTAACAAAGTATTGAAAACCTAAAGTAGACTTAACGCGGCTAGGTCCCCAAATGTCAGAGTGAACCACGGCAAAAGGGGACGAAGCACCACGTGTGACACTACGAGGAAAGGAAGTACGACTATGCTTGCCTAATTGACACGACTCACATGTCAAACTAGACAATTTAGATAAGGCAGGGACAAGTTGTTGTAACTTGGCAAGACTTGGATGACCTAACTGAGCATGGAGAAGAGAGGGAGACTCTATAACTGCACCAACATGTGTAAAGGGAGGAAGATGATAAAGACCATGAGACTCACATCCTGTGTCAATCACCTGTTTCGAACTTCGGTCCTGTAAACACACAGAATTGTTGGTAAAAGAAACAACACAATCAAGAGAACGAGTTAGACGACTGATGGATAACAGGTTAAAAGGAGACCCAGGGACATAAAGAACATTATCAATGGTTAAAGAAGGGAAAAGTTTAACAGTTCCAACACCATGAGATGATACTCTAGAGCCATCGGCTAGTGTAACAAAAGGTAAAGGATCATGAGAGGATAAAGAGGAGAACAAAGATTTGTTACCGAGTAATATGATTAGTGGCTCCTGAATCAAAAACCCAAGAACCAGAAGAAGATTGGGTCAGACCAGCAAAAGATGTACCTGTGTGTGCGACAGACACGGTGGAACTAGAAGACTGTTGATCCTTATACCATTTGAGAAATTTGTTGAACATGGCAGGTGTGTCTGATGAAATAGAAGAAGGAGGATCCTTAGCAGATAAAGGTGGGGAAAAATCAGTCTAAGCAACTGCAATAGATCGAGTAGGATGACCATGTAATGCATAACACTTGTCAATCTTGTGACCTAGTTTGCCACAATGTTCACACTCATGTAATGCATAACACTGGTCAATCTTGTGACCTAGCTTGCCACAATGTTCACACTTTGGACGCCCTTTTTCCTATTTGTGAGGGTGAGTTCGATCATCACGGTGAGATACCAATGCAGAAGAATCATTAACAGAAGTAGGTGTGTCAAGGTTGGGTTTTGCTGGTATACGCAAAAGAGTGGAGCAGGTCGATGTCAAGGTGGGGACAACCGGAGAACCAAAAATCTGATCACGAATATGTGAATATTGATCAGCAAGTCCGTGTAATGCCCTTAGCATAAAGAACTTTGATCGTTGTCCTATCTCGGTGGCAGGGTCGGGGGAAGGAGGCAATAACTCATTGAACTCATGAAAAAGAGCATGAATTTTGCCCATATAATCAGTCATAGAATCTTGATGTTTAGAGGCAATAACATCTACAAATTTAGAACAAACAGCATAGAGACATTGAGTATCATTGGTGTATAATAACTTGGCATGTTCCCAGATTTTGGCACATGTTTCGTAGGAACGAAAAATTTGTTTTAACGAAAGATCAAGAGTACCCTTGAGAACCACGCATAATTGAGCATCAATGGTGTCCCAACGGTCTTCCTCACCGGGAGTGAGAGTAGGTGCTTCGGGGCAAGATGATCAAGATACTTCTGACTCTTAAGTCATAATCTGACGTTTGATGACCATGTGGCATAATTAGGGTCAGTTAACTTGTCAATGGATAAGTGCACATTAACATAGTTAGTGTAGATGGAAGGATCAGACGCAGTACAGACAGAATTGGAAGTACTAAAAGGAGTGGAAGAACTCATAAAGGGCGGAGGCGATAGTGACATCGGCGTGAACCAGTACACCAGGTAAGTTCCCAGGAAAGAGAGGTGGGTCACTAATGGACACGCTTAAATACCAAGTCTTTCTTTGTCAGAACTTTCCTAGACATGCACTTTCACACTACCAAATAACCGACAGCGATAACGGTGGTGGCGGCTTCAATAGTGGTCAAAGGCGAAAAAAAATTTCAAAATAACCTTAAACTTTAGATACCATGTTGAATATAGAAGAAATAGAGTTTGGGATTAATCTCCCTTGTGTATAAATCACACAAAGGGTAATCTATTTATAGTAGAGAAATACAACTAAAAGAGTAACTGAAAGTAATAGAATAAACAGAAGATATTGTTTGATATTATGGTTAATATCTAACAATATCTTAACAATATTAAATAATATCTAAACAATATCTAACAAAGTATATATCTACAATTTTATCATTCATCCTTTTATCTTCTTTCTTCCTTTTATATTTATTTATTATTTATTAATAATATATTATTTGGCCCCCCAAGATCAATGGTCAAGATCCGCCACTGACGACATCGCTGATGTCAACCAACGACACAAAACACAAATCCACTATAATCAAACGACCCACCACCACGAGAACTAGACATGCCTCTGTGACAAGACGACGCACGTTTTGACGGAGTGACCAACACAGATCTTTGTGTGCCACCACGACGGAGAGACCAACACCGCGACGAACCACTCTATGCACCTGGCAGCGGCTCAAACGTTGTTTCTCCATCGTCGCAAACAAGACGCAAACAACCATCGCAACACGTCCTTTCGCTATCGCACTACCGTGAGCAAACCATTACCGGTGACCTTCACGAGTGTGAACGATGCCAAAAATCCTTGATTCAGGAACGCGACTAAATGTAGAAAGGGGTTTCAAATTTTGGGTTTGGCCAGAGGGTTCAAAGATGTTCGAAATTGAAAAATTTATGGTTCATGAAAATTGGGGATTTTATTTAATTAGAATTCTAATAACAATTCGAACTGGCCTGGAAAAGAATTTTGAAATTCACTCCTTAATCAATCAATTTGAACTTAAATGAGAAAGTTAAATTTACCAATTTTCATACTTTTTGATAATGAACAATTATTAAAATTTATGATACATTCTCCAAAACACAATGAACAACAATTATATTATGTATCTTGTTGACTCTCATACCATAAAGCGTGTATAATAGAATATTGCTCTCTTTCTGATAGGTTACTATTAAACGTACTGTGAAAAGTATTTTTACATTGTCTTTACAAAAACTGACTAATGAGGTATCAATTTTATACACCTACCAACAGAGATCAGAGATTTTTCAATAAGTAACTAATTCTGAATAATCCAACCATTATGAACAGTTCATCAAAAACTTAAATTAAGTTATTATTTATAAAATAATAATGATGTGTAATATAATTAATAAATACAAATAATTAATATATTGATTAATGTTAATCCATAACAAATAGAGAATAATAAATTATATAATAATTTATATAAATACAACTCATTCTACCTAAGCTTATGTATACGCCTACTTAATGAATAAGTTAGGTAATAATTTCTTTTAAACCCTTATTTAATTAAAAATACACTTAATTAATATCAACTTATTTTATAATAATTAGTTGAAATAAAAGTGTTTGTCAACTTTTTTAAAAAATTATTATAAAATTTTGTTAAAATATTGAAACAAAAAAATAAAATCTATAGCTTTAAAAAATATAACTAAAATATTAAAGATACAATTATATATATTAAAAAATAGAAGAAAAAAATAGTTATATAATATAATTTAAAAAATAAAATGAGAATAAATTATGTAATTTTTTTTGTTAAATAACTAAATTTCATTTATTTTTTTATTCTTATAAAGAGAAATACATATACTTCAGAAAAGATTATGCGGATTCACAATTTAAAAACTATTAATAAATGAAATTATTTTAAAAGTAAAAAAAAAACACTTTTATAATATGTAGGATTGTCAAAATAGGTTTAGTTTGATGATTAGTTTAAAAAGCCCGAAAAATATATTAGGTTAAACAAAAAAAATTATAGCTTAACTAAAATCAGATAAATTTTGGTCCGACCTATTTAGGTTAGGTTTAAATAGGCATAGATCATGCTAGCCCGTAGGTTTATAGGCTGATTCGTTTTATAAAATAATTATTATTTTACTAATAAAATAAAATTAATATTATTTTATCATAATATATATATATATATATATATAATAAATTAGTTTGATAATATATTTTATTTTATATATATATATATATATATATATATATATAATTTACAAAAAATAATAAACTCTAAAAATGTTTATTTGTTTTTGTCATTTCCTTCCTCTTTGTTCATTGTTATATTTGTTTTTAATGATCAATAATTTAAGATGATATATTCTTAAATGTAATGTATTTCTAAAATATTATGATGTGAGAATTATATTGAATAATAAAGCTTAATCTATTGAAGTAATGAAAATTTTACTCAAAAATTTATTAAGATACACTTGTTAAATATATTATTAAACATAATCTTCAATTTAGTTATGTTGAGTATAAAGGGGTTTTAGCTATATTGAATATAAAGAAGTTTTAGTTATGTTGAGTATGAGACAGTTTTAACTATGTTGAATTTGAGGGAGTTATGTAAATAAAATTTTGAATCATGGTTTTAAATTAATTACTAAAAACACTTCAATTATAGAGATTTATAGAAACACTCAATTACAATATTTATAAGATGTATCTAACAAAAAAAGAAAAAACTAAAAGATGTATTATCTCATATTTACGGTAAGATATTTTAAACCAATTACTAGAAACACTATATCGTATATTTAATTGAAAAGAAAAAGCTAAAATATGTGTTATTTAATATTTCTAATAAAATATGATATGTTATCTAATATTTACGATAGGATATGTTTGACTGTATTGATATTTATAACTTCTCAAGGATACATGACTATAATAACTCATTTTTATGATTTTATACCTTTGATTTTATTTTGGCTGAATAGGTTATGAGTTAATTTTAAATAAATAATATATTTTTTTCAAACAAAATAAAAGAATTATTTTTAATTAGGCAAAAAAATAAATTTTTTTGTCTATATTAAAATATAGATTAGACTTAATTATTAAAAAAAAAGATTTTTTACTTGACTCATAAAATCAAATCAGACCAGGGTAAAGCACCCGTTTTTTATAATTCTAAAAAATGAAAGAGAATTTACAATATGATATTTATGTTCATTAATTTTACACCTAACATAAATAAAATCTGAAAAATAGATAAGAATTTAAGTACACAAATATTCACGAGAATATCCATGAATATGAGAATTAAAGTTTTTCTTTTATATTTTGTTCATATATTACTATACCCCTCTTAATGGATTTTTAAAACTGTTGTTGCAGATGAAGGCAACACAACCACAATTCAAACTGTCGTTGTCATGTACAAACTTTAAATTATTTTTTCCATCGTAAAAAATGAAAAAAGCAAAAAAATCACAAAAAAATGTAAGTCCTAAGAAGGTCATTGGACTAAAATTCTAAATATAATGTAAAATGTAAAGTAAAAAATAAGAGCTAAAAAAAATGTAATATAAAATAGAAGTAACGAGGAATGACATAATATCACGGAGCGATTGGTGCATCCCTTTTCCCGTGAGAGATGCAATACAGTGACGCACTAACCCAACCCTCATTAATTTTGTAGCGTGTAAAAAAAGTGAAACAATTCATTTATTATTTTTTCATCATGGTCTTTAACATGCATGGAATTTCCACGTTAGAAACCTGTAGCAAGTGGATCCACAGAATGTGAAATTGAAACTTCTCACCTGGTGTCTGTGTTAATCATTACATACAAATTAGGGTTTTATTTCATTAGAAAAATTAAAAACCTCCCGGATGTTTTATTTTATTTGATGTATAGAAGATTGCGATTCTCCTATGTCTGTACGACGAGGACGAGTCCTCCTTGTCTCGCGGCGATGATGTTCCCCTTACAATCCACCGCTTTCCATTTCTCGATCGTTAACAAGTTCTTGCTCAAACTTTTATTTTTTTCATGTTTTTATTAATATAATCCTTTAAATTAGAAATCATACCATCAAAAATCATACAATCCTTTAAATTACTCACTCTTATTAATATAATAATCTATCAAATAATTTAATAAAAATAAAAATAAATTAAAATTATTATTATAATATAATAATCTATCAAATAATTTAATAAAAATAAAAATAAATTAAAATTATTATTATAATATTAAAAGATAAATATTTATAAGAATTATATGAATTTAAGTTGAAAAAATATCATTTTTCTTCTATTTATTATTTTTGTTTTAATTATTTTTCTCTGCCACAACATCGTAAATAACATTAATTGGTATTTATTGTTGTAAGGTGTTGGTTGATAACTGAACCGACCAAAGCAAGTTACTCACTCAACCATAATTGGCTTAGGCTGTGCAACTTTCGTCTCTTGTGTATACGCCGGTTAAAATAGTTTGTAGATTGATTAATATTTTTTTTAATAATAATTATTTGTAAAATAAAAATTAAACTAATATTATTTTATTAAAAAACACATATATATTATAAAACTAAATAATAATAATAATAAAAAGTAAGTTTTTAACTTTTATTGTAAGATTTTATAGTTTTTCTATAATTTATATATTAAATTATTAAATAAAAACTAATTTTATTAATATAATTTAAATTTTAAAAATATTTGTTATTATTTATTTTTTAAAATAATTTTTTATTTTTAATAATCGAACTGCTCATAGAAAACACAACTCTTCCTGATTTTTATTTGAGGAATAAAGAACTACTTTTTAAAAACGATTATGGTAGGTGTGAAATCTGATTTGTTTGATATAAAAAGAATTGTTGGGATAAGGGAGGTGAGAAAAAGTTGAAGTTGATTGGCATTTGTTGTTGAGAATGAACGGGGGGCGTGTCTCATGTCTCATCCACTCTATGCCAGGAAAAGATCTCCATGTTTGGACCCAATCCCTATCTTTCCCTTCTACACTTTTAGGGATTGCCAGACCTAAAGGACCAACACCACTCTCCAACTTTATGTGATTCAACTTTTGACATTTTTATTTCATCTCTAACTATTTAAAGATGAAATAACAAATAAAGGTTAACCTAATGTAAATTTGTTCATTGTTTGAAGAAGGAGAGAAAGCAAGATAAAAAATAAATAAATTATATAAACATTTTTAAAAAATAAATTATATAAACATTTATATCTACTCAAAATTAATCTTCATTCTATCACGAATAAAAACTATTATCATCATTTAAAAAAAATTAAATAATATTTAGCATGCAATTTTCATCCCAAATCATTGTAAAATGGGAGGAAATGAAATTAGTAAATCCAGCAAATCTTTACAATTAGTATTTCTAATTTCAAAGAAGAAGAAGCATGTATGTATATATATATATATATATATATATATATATATATATATATATATATATATATATATATATATTAAGAAACAAAAAAGTAATTGCCAAGTCTCTTATCTAGGTCTACAACACATTCAGTTTGGGAGGGGACCTCCTCAAGGCATAACTTTGATGAGTGGAAAAAACAAGTTTAGTTAGGTAATCAACAATACAAAATAGTATTCTCTGCATTACTTCATAAGAACTACAAATTTACAAAAAAAATTCAGCGATATGTATGTTGTTGTCCACCTTTGTTCTTCCATGT